AGAGAAAAGAGAAAAAGGTGAAACTCAAATCAGTAGTTTTATTACCCGTGATTGCCTAGCCTACTTTCTCTCTGTGCCCTTGACCTCTGCTCTAACCAAGAATCCTTTCACAGTCTCTTTCCCCTGATTTCCTTTGTTGTTCAGCTCTAAAGCTTCCCTTATGGTGCCCCATTCCCTTAATGTCCCTTATAGCCCAAGTTCTTAAATAGTTCCACCTCTTGCGAACCTCAGCTGCAATGGGCTCTCTGCTGTTAGCCCAAACACAAATGCCAACTCACAGTTCACCAGATAACCTGATTGGTGCTGCTCGTCTTAGGAGGAAACCCACTAGGTGGCATATTATCTTCTGCACATTTTTATTGGCCAACTTTTGTTTGCTGGGCATTATTTTAACGGCCACTGAATTGTAAGGTATTAAGATGACAATTTGTCTTTAAGGAAAATATAAAAGCAATATATTTAACTTGTTTTAATAAGCTGTCCTTCAGATCGTATTTGTCAAAATGCTTAAAGCTGCTATTTCCTGACAAAAAGTTGAAATAGTTGACCTTTGGCCAATGGAAATCCAGCCATTTGTCAGTTAGAACTGAAGGTGCTGAGCTGACACTCAGCGGCCTGGCTCGCATTCTAGGTTCCTTGCTGCACCCAGAAGCCTGGATACTTTGTGCAAACTGGCTGGAAGGCCCCCGAAAGCAGATACATGCAGAAAGACTTCCACAATTTCATCACTTCTCGAGATCTATGAAAGCACAGAACAAGGGCCCTAGAGCTGGAAGGGGCTGTAAAGATTGTTTAATCCAATCCTCTTACTTCATGAATGAAGAAACTGAAGACTTGAGAAGTAAAGTAATACAGTTTCCATTCAAATACATGCCTGTGGTCCTCTTCCTGGGAAATGATATAGTTGCAAGGCCAAAGTCAGAATAAAAAGTGACCCAAATGGGCTATACTGTATGAAATTGTCATTTACAGATGCCATACATCTTTAACAGAGGTTAACAGGATGGAAAATAATCCCTACCAGGGTTAAGTTAAAAATTCATTTTTTAAAAAGAAAGAAACTCAGCCTTTACAAAGTGATGAGAAATGATAGGGATTGGGATATTTTCAGAGGTAAGCTGTGCCTCCACTTCTGACTAAGACTTAATGGAACAAATGCATTCAGGGAGATGCATGGAATTTAAACACAATTCAACATCAGTTAATTCTAAGAGTAAAGGCCCTTCAGTCCAGCTCCCTTCCACCTCAATGTTAAAGGAAGCTAGAAAGCCAATTACATTCACAGCAGGGCCTCTCCCCTACTGCAAGGGAAGAATGTACTGCAAATTCTATGTGTGCTTTACAAGCTAGTAAAACTATAATTGCAGGTGGGAAGGAACATGGCGTCTCTTTGTTTCTGCCAACATTTCAGTCTGGTGAGCTCTCTCTGCAGCTGCAGAAAGAGTGTGGACTCCATGGCTTTCTTTAAGCACAAAAATGTGTACTCCAGGATTCTACAAAATTTACAGAAAGACTGCTTTCTGTTAAAATTGAAAAGATGTCTGTGCATAGCCCACCAAAAGGTCATGCATTCTTCCAAGAAACAAGTGCTGAAGGTGCTTCCCTTTTTCAGCAAGCCAAAACCCACCTTCGGGTGCAAGCTCTGAAGACCTCTCTCAGCAAGAGCAAAGACAGGTGGCAAGGTTCAGAGGGTAGGTAGTACCACTCACTCAAGTGCAGGACTAGGGACAATACCCTGGCTCAAGAGGGTAGGGGCTGTCCAGGTGCAATTCCCCTGTGGAGCCACTGGGGAGGTCTGGTCTAGGACCATCCTGGAGGCAAGAGGAAATGAGGCTTTTCTGCGTCCCCTACCAAGGTAATGCTCCATATGGTGATTGTATAGCTGCAGCTATAGCAGGTGTCTATGGCCTAGATTCCCCTACAGAACATGAGGGGCAAAACTGGGACGCAACAAGCATTACTTTTGTGGTGATGGTTGTCGTCTAGTGTCCACAGATGCAGTGTCTTGGTGACGCCGAAGAAAGCTCCCAGGAGTCATTTATACAAGGTCCACACCTCATAACAACACTAATAGCAATACTCTACCCCTAGTAAAGCGCCTATCCCCTAAGCCCTTAAGTGACGGGCAAAGTTCTAAGTGCTCTATGCATACTAACTCTAAGGCCTCACAACAACTATTATCCTCACTTCAGAGATGAAGTGCTTAAGGCACAAAGAGAAGTGACTTGCCCAAGGTCACCTAGTGTGTCTGGGGTGAGTTGGCATTTGAACATGGGCAGGCGGCCTCCAAAGCTCCAGTGTGCGACCGCTGCAGTGGCCAGCACCTCTGCAATGCCCAATGTCGGATATCATCATCCCTTTGGAGACCTTTGCTCCAGGCAGAAACTCCATCCCATGTTCACCTCACACTGGCGTGCTGGCCTCCTAAAAGCTCCTGACAGCCATCTTAATTTTGATTTCTATTTAATTTTCCACCTCACAAAGCAATGCCAGGGAGAGGGAGTCTGGTGATACCTTTAGAATATGATTTATCAACCAACAGCTTAAGGGAATGCAGGGCTTCCTTGCTGCCACCTGACCTTTGTCTTCGGCCTTCCTAATGTTTGCATTGCTGCCCTGACCTTGCAAAGTGACCTGGAATAGCTTGGCTGTTTCCTTGTGTGTGTCCACTTTCAGAGCCCAGCTGTCAGCCTGTGCAAGTCTGTCAATTAGTATCTCAAGGGTTTGGGATGGGGTCTGCCGCCTTTTGAGGAGCACAATCTAACACTAACCTCCAAATTCCTTCTCGTAATTGAGCATTCATTAGTTTGACGGAACAAAAGCGGGCATTCTCTATTATAAAGCAGAGGTCAAAACTGGTGGCTGTGTTTTGTTTGGCCTGCAGAGTGTTTAAATATTGAGAAATTTCACATAAAAATACAGATTTCCGGCTTCTCTTGGAAAACGGGAAGAGCAGACAACTCTGGGGCTACTGAGTAACAGCTGCTGCCTTCAGATATGGAAGCTCTCTCTGGTTCATCTGCCCAACTTGAGTCTCCCCTTGGGCCTGCTTCAGGCACAGATGCCATTTGCCTGGTCTCTGCAGGAATCCCAGTCAACATAGCTCTGTTCTAGAGCCAGAATTCCCTCCTTTAAAACGTGAGATGGGCCAGGCGTGCTGGCTCACGCCTGTAATCCCAGCACTTGGGAAGTTTGAGGCGGGCAAATCCCTTGCCCAGGAGTTCGAGATCAGCCTGGGCAACATGGCAAAACCCTGTCTCTACCAAAAAACCCCACAAAAATTAGCCAGGCATGGTGGTGCAAGCCTGTAGTCCCAGCTATTCAGGGGACTGAGGTGAGAGGATTGCTTGAGTCCAGGAATTCAAGGCCAGCCTGGGCAACATAGGGAGACCCCCATCTCTACAAAACATTTAAAAAATCAGCCGTGGCGTGGTGGCGCATGCCTATGGTTTCAGCTACCTGAGAGGCTGAGATGGGAGGATTGCTTGGGCTCAGGAAGTCAAAGCTGGAGCCAGCCATGATCATGCCCCTGCACTCCAGCCTGGGCAGCAGAGTGAGACCCTGTCTCAAAAAAATAAATAAAATAAAATTCCAGGAGCAAATGTGTTGATGGTCCACTAGGCTTTAGCCAGAAGTTCAAATAAAAGCCAAACAACAATATGAAAAGCTGCCCCCATCAGCCTTCTCTGTTTCCCCACAAGGACGGGTGTAATGTTGTTCAAAAGCTGCAAATTCCAAATATGGAGGGAATTGCAGGCCACTATCACATGGAGACAATGATGTCCGCTAAGACACATGTGGCAATGCTGTCTTCTGAGGTTGCCATGCATCCTGGTTACATTTCTGAATTGGGTGAAGTGCTGGAAACCTCCTCAGCCCTAAAACACCTGAATAGATAGTGCCTTCTGGTTATCCCTCTGGTCCCTTGAAGACCAACTATGGGTGTGGTGGGATGGCTAGTCCAAGGCATCAAGGGATGAAATCCCACTGGACATCACCAAGTGGAACAGAATCATGAGCAGCTTTGACTGTAAGTTCCTGGCACACGGACAGAGTGCAGGAATTTGACCATAATCAGTAAGAATCACCAGTCCGTTTCTGAGAAAATGTGCCCTTTCAATTTCAGGGGAAACATGGCTCCTGATACATAGTACATGCTTAATAAATATTTGCTGAATGAATAAATGAATAGGGCGAAAACACCCAGTGAGGGGCTTGATGACAGAGTCGGGCTCATATTTCAGGTGCACAGGTGGGATGGAAAGATTTAAAACTCAGTTCCTCGTTCTTTGCACCTCAAGGCACATCCCAGAATCTTTCATTTCTGAGGGAAGTGAAGCAATACCGTTTTACTCATTCTATGAATGTTTTGTTGAGACAATTTATCAGAATAACCCTGAAGCATGCGGACAATGTTAAGAAATGTCACAGTTGGCCGGGCGCGGTGGCTCATACTGTAATCCCAGCACTTTGGGAGGCCAAGGCGGGTGGACCACAAGGTCAAGAGATCAAGACCATCCTGGCCAATATGGTGAAACCCTATATCTACTAAAAATACAAAAAAAATTAGCTGGGCTTGGTGCCTCGTGCCTGTAATCTCAGCTATTCAGGAGGCCAAGGCAGGAGAATCGCTTGAACCTGGAAGGCGGAGGTTGCAGTGAGCCGGGATTACGCCACTGCGCTCCAGCCTGGCAACAGAGCGAGATTCCATCTCAAAAAAAAAAAAAAAGTCACAGTTGGTAGTAAAAATTTTCTTCAGCTTGCCCCCATGGAAGAAACACTGTAGATCAGATCATTAGAATGGTTTAAGGCTACCAAGGCCTCAAAGTTCTCCTCTTAGTCCTCTCTCTCTGGCTTATGATTATGGGCCAAAATTTTAACTTACAGCCTCTAAGAAGCCTTCCCTGATGGCCAAGTTACTGGGTGTTCTGGTTACTATTACTGCAAAACAAACTACTCCAAAACGTAGTGGTAAAAAAAAACCAACCAACAAAAACCTAGTGGTGCAAAACAATCATTTATTATGGGCTCACACATTTTGTCGGTCAGGACTCCAGGAAGGACACTATGGAGATGGTTTGTTTCTGCTCCATAATATCTGCAGCCTCATCTATAGGCTCAGGTGAGAAGACTTGAAGGCTAGAGCAGCTGGAATCATGTGGGGTTGTCTCTACTCATCTCTCTGGTGGTTGATGATTGCTGTCAGCTAGAACCACCACCATGAGGCCTGCTCATGTGGTTCTTCTATGAGGGCTCATCTGGACTTCCTTACAACATGGCCACTGGGTTGCCATGAGTGAGCATCTCCAGAAAGCACCAGGTTGGACCTATATTACCTTTTATGACTTGGCTTTGGAAATCACATGGCATCACTTCCATAGTCACAGGCCTGCCCAAATTTGGGGAGAAGGAACACAGATCCCACCACTGAATAGGAGGGGCAACAGAGTCACAGTGTAAAAAAGACATGTGGGATGGAAGATACTGTTGCAGCTATCTTTGCAAAATACAATCTGCCACACACTTGGTCAGATGTATTCCCCAAGTACCCTAGGTTCAACTCCCCTGACTTAATGCCTATCTGCCTCTCTCATCAGACTGTGAGCTCAGTGAGGGAAGGGACTGTAGCTTAATCACCTTTGCCTCCTCTGTGGCTAGCTCAATGATTAGCACACAGAAAGCATTCAATCAATACACACTTGTTGAATCAAACTGAATAGAAATGAAGAACCAGAAAGACTACTGGGTCCCTTTCACAATGGCTGTTGGTGGCATAGGTTTCTACCACTGGCAAGACCGATGCTAACCTTACTCTATATCTTTAAGTAAATGTTCTTTGAAAACAGGCCCTCACTTCGTCAGTATTAGGATTGCTCTTTTAAAATATGAAACAACAAAAACCCAACAACAACAGCAGCACTCAGAAGGCTGCATGCCAAAGGACTCCCAGGAGAGTGATTTCAGCACTGACTAAACACCATCCAACTCCACAGCTGCAGCCTCAACCGGTATTGTGTTGTCTCTACCTGAGGGGCTAGAGTTGGCTCCTGGAATCCTTATCTCAACTGAGCTCCTTCTCACCTGGGCAACAGGGCTCTCTATCCACCACTCACAACGCACAGTTATCTTTCTGATCTGGCTTCCACAAAAGGTAGTGACTTTGTCCTTAGCTCTGCACATTTTCTGCCACAGCCCATGCCGAGCTCCCCCGATCCTTCAATCATCTGTGCAATTTGGCTGCGGCGCCTGGGTCTGCAGAACAGAAAAGTCAGCTTGCATAGAGGACAATCTGCACCAGCACCTTGCTAATCACCTGCTTTAACCCACTCAGCTAACTGGTTCCATCATCAAAACATCAGAAAACTAGTAGTTATGCTCAGTAGGTAGTAAAGATGTCAAGACTGAAAGTGAGGAGTCAGAAGACCCAGCTCCAGTCCTGGCACCTAGCAGCAGTTGTCACTCTTCCCTTTCCCCTCCCTGTACAACGTGAAACACCCTGGGAGACTGAGTGTGAGGCATGAACTGTTCGGCACCCACTCAAGATACACCTGCTCTCCTGAGGAACAGGGCTTTTCCATTTGCTCCGCTGCCTGCCTATCAAAACTTCAAAGAATAACACTCAATCCCTTCCTCTGCCCCAGCAAGATCTTAGCCTGTGCATTCATTTTTTGAAAACCCACTTGTTTAAAAGGCATAATTTGCTCCCCAAATAACTTACGGTCCTCTTTCCTAGCTCACTAATTGGTTGGGAGAGCTGTGGCTAAAATAGCTAACAGAGATTTAGTGATGTTTTAATGGAGGCCTTGCTCCTGTCTCGCCCCAGATTACGTTCAGGGGTTTCTGAAGGCAGTGCCGGCTGCAGCGGACACAGGCACCGGCCATGGAACAACACAGGCGAGCTGTCACGCTTTGTTTTTCTGCTTGTTAAATCCGAATGCTCCTAATTAGTTATCCTGGCCGCTAATGCCTGGGTGGACAATGGTGTAGGGATCAGGGCTGCTGAGAAGCTATGAATACAAGTTCCTTGGGCTCCTGAGGCTTGGGACTGGTGACTCGGTTGTGGGTACTGAGGCGCTGTGTTCCTGTGGACTGTGGATTCAAAGATGTCAACCCCTGTGTGAATAAAGGTCATCACCTGTTACTTCTTTGGTGAAAGGGCAGCTGTGCTGGGTGCCCACTTAGGCGTGGCCTTTGTCTGCCGACTCTGTGAAGAGCATCCATAGAGAAAAACATTCTCTGATTATGGGTTTGCTTGGTGGGTCAGGGCCATGCAAAATAACTCACATCACTTCCTTGAAGAAGAATTCAGTAAAGCATGTTGTTTAAAAGTGGCCTTGAAATGTCTTAAACATTGCCTTTTTGTGATCTTACCAGCTAGAAAACAGTTGAGGTAAGACCACCGTTTGCTTTATTTCTTCAGGGGCCAATTCTAACAAATGTTGAGGTCACACGGATGACAATTCCTAAGCTCTGTGGGTATGCTGGACTAGCAAAAAAGTTAACCGAAGAGTTAACTGTTCAGGATATGGAGTGAGTGTTCAGAAAGTTTGCAACACGAAACAACTCACTATTATTCTGACATAAGCAGATATTTTTATTTTGTTTTAGAATTCTGTGCATTGTTATATTTCATAGTCAGCATTTCTAATTTTGTTTTGTTTAGCGACTGATGTTAAATTAACCAGTTTGCTTTGCTTTTTAGGGGAGAGAGAACCAGTGAGTTCACGATACTGTATGTATGAACATATGTACATATACACCTTTGTCACCCATCCACCCACCCATCCATCCATCCATCCATCCACTGAACATTTCTATGTTGCATAAGTTACATCAGTTGCTGAGTGTAAGTGTTTATTGCTTTAGTATTAAACAGTTTAGGCAGTGCTAGGCAATTCCAGAAAGGTAGTGTACATCTGGTCACTCCTCTCTCTTTTCACAGCTCTTGAGTGCTGTGGGTCCTCCCACCTGGCATCCTTCCCACTTCACAACTCTTTAGTAAGTACTCCAAATTCCAGACTTTCCTGTCCTTTTTCTTTCATTAAAACTTATCTGTTGAAATGTCTCCCCACCCTCAATATCATGCCATGTTTTCAAATGAATTTCTGCCAAAATAATAATTTATTTTTCTTGGGTAATATATTTCCTATTAACTATAATCTAAATGCCTTCACCTAAAGGTAGGGTCTGATTTGGAAATGTAGGGCCCAGGGAAGGCGAATAATGAGAAAATTAGCTCCTTAGGTTGTCTCACAAGAGGGGTGTGTGTGTGCGGGGGTGAGGTGGTGGGCAGTGGAGGGAGTAGGGTGGAGGGCCTACTCTAACCAGCCACCTCACCCATGGGATCATCCAGTATCCTTTCTCATGAATCGCCACAAATAGAATCATTCAATGCTTAACTTACATATGCCCCCAAAGGTGAGTAATACCAGAAGAGTTAGTCATTAATATACATTTTAGGTTTTGTCACAAGAGCACAGGTAGCCAAAATTTAGAAGTCAAATCTGACCTTTTCTTTCAGCAAATAGAAGGAACTTTAGAATAAACCTGCTATCATTTACACAGTCCAAAGAATGACATATTAAACCAGACTTCTGATTTGCTCCTTAAGAACAACCAAGAACTCTTGACCATTTATTTATATATACTAATGTATTCTACTGGTAAAATCTGGAACCTTTTCATCAGTGTTAAAAGCGCCAAGGGGAGTAAGGAGATGGTTTGTCACATACTTAATAGGGAAAGCAGATAGCTGACGCCGAAAGTTAAGGCACTGAGAGTTACGGTACAACTCTCTCCATCTCAGGTGAGCATATCTTTTTATTGCATTCCTGTCTTAAAGCCTTCTCATGGATTTGTGATAATGCTGGATAGACTGAAAATAACCAAACACAAATTCTATTCTATTTATTCTTCCCAAAGTAACTAACCAAGGAAAAGCTCTTAAAAAGCAGTGCCTCAGTTTCCCCATTCAAAACATGCACCAATACTAGTCCGTGCATTCACACATGCTGAGTTGTTGCCTTCTACCTCCTTTACAAGGAAGCACTTCGTCAGTTCAAAAACCACCATGCATTCATACCTCCTGAAAGAAAATTTGTAAGATTTTATTTTTTAAAAAATGAACAGTACATTCTGTCAGAGTTACATTCAAAGAGTATGGAATTGAATATGTTTTTCTTTTTTTTTTTTTTTTTGAGACAGAGTCTCGCTCTGTCGCCCAGGCTGGAGTGCAGTGGCCGGATCTCAGCTCACTGCAAGCTCCGCCTCCCGGGTTTATGCCATTCTCCTGCCTCAGCCTCCCGAGTAGCTGGGACTACAGGCGCCTGCCACCCTGCCCAGCTAATTTTTTGTATTTTTTAGTAGAGATGGGGTTTCACCGTGTTAGCCAGGATGGTCTCGATCTCCTGATCTCGTGATCCGCCCGTCTCGGCCTCCCAAAGTGCTGGGATTACAGGCTCGAGCCACCGCGCCCGGCCTTGAGTATGTTTTTCTAACAATATCGAGTTCGCAGAACAGAAATTCACCTGGAATTCTAAACACAAGAAATAAGCAAAGGAAGGCCATGCTCCCTGGAGCTCCTAGGATTTGGAGAGCCTCTGCCCCTGTCTTATGCGTCTTCCTTGGCCCTGCTACTAGGCCAGGTATACCTGGCTCTATTTTACAGGTTATGGCTAAATGCTACCAACTGACTGTAGTCAGATAATGACTATATACAACTACTACTTTTTCGATGTGCAAGTCATACCAGTGAGCAATTCAATCACTGGTGAAACAGACAATTAGGGACTCAGTCTGAGCATTAATTTTGCCAATAACTGGTACTCAGTGAACAGTGAGCAGGTGACAGCCCTTCCTGAACAACTGGAGGGAATCTCCTTTGCAAAGCAATTGTCAATCCTTGCTATTTCTTTCCTCACATCTAAATGTACAATAGTAAAGGAAAATGCATGCAAAGAGGACAGTAATTCAAATCATGAAAAGGGGGAAAAGTGTCTTGAACGTAACAAAAGCAGCGGTAAGGCAGCTTGAAATCTTCAGCCAAATTGTTGAATTGAGTCTATCTGTGAAAATTTTAGGGACTGTTACTTATAAACATAAAACCAGACAGAGACAATAAGATTGCAATTTTTTTGGTACCAGAATTCTTTCAGCATCTTTAAGTATTATTAGTGCTTTGTGTACTATATTATTTTAAATTATCTCTAAATTATAAATCTCCTTTCACCATGTTTATTAAATTCTTACCTGTTTTTTTTTTTTTTTCTTTTTGAAGAGGAAAATGGCTGTTTTGCTTTTTAAATAAAAGCTAATGGGAAAAATCAAATTAACAAGAGAAATCTTAAAGTAGACAGGAATCTGTGCATTTAAGAAGAATATCCATCTTATTGTTTTTCTCTGATTTATAACTCTTGAGTCACTTGCTTTAGTTTATTTTCCTTTCCCCTGCAAAATCTGAACATTAAAAGCCCCTTTTCTATAGTTACTTGATATGACAGACAGGTCTGCTTTTACAGAAACCTTTAGCAGTGAGGAGAAAAATCAAACAGGGGAAAATAATTTACTGTAAAACGCCTGACACTGACAATAAGTGGGATGATGAAGCAGTCCAGAAGAGGCCAAAATGGCCTAGGATGCCATAAGGCTGGTGGTTGGGTCAGTTAGGTTGGGTTTCCCCATACCACTACATGCCCTTTCACAAAGCAATGGTATTTTTTGTTCTTTCTCTTTGTGTCCCTTCCCTTACATATTTGCAAGAACAATTCAGATCTAGAAAACATGCTTGTTATCTACTCAGAAACCAAGGAAAGATGAAGCAGGGGATGCCCTTCAGTGCTGATAGCCAAGATGCAGACAGATCAAAAGCTAAATCCAATTTAACCCACCTCAGGCAGAAAAAGTAATCGAATTAAACTTCCTCTAAATATGATAAGTTTGGGGCTCTTAAAGCCAGGCACAAAGAACCAGGTTAGAGTGAGCTGTTAAGTAAATGGATGCATTGAGCTCTAGCTGCCCCGCCCACAGCGTGTTTGATAAGCTGTTGATTGCCTCGATCACTTTACTACCCAGGCTGACAACTGATTAAGCTGCTTATGGGGCTCCAGGGGCTAATGGCTTGGCCACCAGGAATATCCCTGCCACTGATTTCAGTAAGCTGCTTGGCATGTATAGTTTGATTATTAAAGGAGGAAAAAAAGAAAAGGGGGTGGAGGGAAAGACAGCAGGGTATAGGAAAGCCTTAAAAAGCAGGCTGTACGATTCCAAATGGATACATTACTTTGACACCCTAAAATGAATATGGAATTACTCTGATTCTTTCTCTTCGTCAGATATCGAAACTCACGTTTGAAAGGCTCCTTCAAAGAGTACTCACTTTGGAGCCCACCTATTCTATTTTAAACCAGCTTTACAAGAATGTTCAGTGCCTTTAAACATACTTCTCAAACGATAGAGTCTGTGTCCTCAGGCACTATGATCAGGTAGACTCCAGAAAATAGATAAATGTATAACAAGTGTTTTAACCAACTCTTCCCCTTGAACAACAATTTCAAGTAAAAATATACCTCTTTGCACCCTTGCCAGCAGACCACTGCTGCCTGACTATGTAGTAAAGATCAGGCAGGACCGAAGAAGTTGGGAGAGCTGGTATGTGCAAATAGGTTTCAACTTGACACATAAATGGAAATGAAAACCTTAGTCTTTTCTTAGAGCTCTCCAATTAAGTGCTCTAACATCATGTCTGCCATTTAATTTAAAATAACTTTCTGGCAGGGAGCAGAGGCTCACACCTGTAATCCCAGCTCTTTGGGAGGCTGAGGCAGGTGGATCACTTGAGTCAGAAGTTCGAAACCAGCCTGGCCAACATGGTGAAACCCTGTCTCTATTAAAAATGCAAAAATCAGACGGGCCTGGTGGCACACGCTTGTGATCCCAGCTACACAGGAGCCTGAGGCACGAGAATTGCTTGAACTCAGGAGGCTGAAGTTGCAGTGAGCCAAGATCACACCACTGCACTCCATCCTGGGCAACAGAGTGAGATTGTCAAATAAATAAATAAATAAATAAATAACTTTCCTAGCTCTGGGGGGACAAAAAGAACATAAAATTCTTAAGTTACTAAATTAAAAGACACAAAAAATCCTTGAAAAGTAATTTAAAGCCAGAAAAATGACTGAAGTTATTGTAAGTATGGTTTTTAAGTTGACCTAAATTCTTCTGGATAAAACAACCAGAGAGGAAAACAACAATGAAAGAACAGAATCACAGCAGTTTGAGATACACTGAAAGTTGTCACAATTATTATTATTAGTTAATGAACTCTTAAAACAATCATTATCTAGTGTCCAACAGTTCTTAGGAGTGAGTTGTCGATTTAAATGATTAACCAAAGCTTAACATATTTAGAATTTTGGGTTGAACACACAAGAGGCCAGTTTCTTCCTAGCTGCTAATCTGGTCAATCATTAAAAGTACAAGTGTGGCCAGGCGTGGTGGCTCACGCCTGTAATCCCAGCACTTTAGGAGGCTAAGGTGGGCAGATCACTTGAGGTCAGGAGTTCGAGACCAGCCTGGCCAACATGGTGAAACCCCATCTCTACTAAAAATACAAAAACTAGCCAGGTGTGGTGGCACATGCCTGTAATCCCAGCTACTCAGGAGGCTGAGGCAGGAGAATCGCTTGAAACCGGGAGGTGGAGGGTGCAGCGAGCCAAGATCACGCCACTGCACTCCAGCCTGGGCGACAGAGCAAGACTCTTGTCTCACAAACGAAAGAAAAAAAAAAAAGTACATGTGCTAATAAAAGTATAAAAGGATGATTTCAACTCTTACATGCTATGTTATGTTTTACTAAACTTTAAAAGCCATTCAACTTTTTGGCTTGAGCACAAGTCAAGGGCTTAACACATTCAATGCCTTTTACATCTTTTCATACAAATTTTTAATTGGTAAAAGTCACACACCATAAAATTTACTCTTTTAAAGTAAACAGTTTAGTGGTTTTCAGAATATTCACAAGACTGTACAACCATCACTGCTGTCTAATTCCAGAACACTTTCATTAGCCTCCAAAGAAACTCTTTATCCATGAGCAGGCACTCCCCATTTCTTTACTCTCCCCAGGCCCTGGCAACCACTAACGTACTTTCTGTCACAATGGATTTGCCTATTCTAAACATTTCATGTAAATAGAATCATACAGTATGTATTCTTTTCTGTCTGGCTTCTTTTACTTAGCATGATGTTTTCAAGAGTTATCCATGTTGTAGCATGCATCAGTACTTCACTTCTTTCTATGGCAGAATAATATTTTATTATACGGCTACAAAACATTTTGTTCATCCATTCATCAGCTGATGAACATTTGGGTTGTTTCCACTTTTTTGCTATTATGAATAATGCTGCTCTGAACATTTGTGTACAGGTTTTTCTGTGGACATATGTTTTCAGCTGTCTTGGGTATATACCTAGGAGTAAAATTGTTGGGTCATATGGTAACTCTATGTTTAATTTTTTAACTGTTTCCAAAGTGGCTGACGTACTTTGCATCCCATCAGCAATGTATAAGAGCCCCAGTTTCTCTACATCCTTGCCAACATTTGGTATTGTCCTATATATCTTTTTATACTAAGTTTTCCCCCCATTCTGAATAAGAATTATCAGGGTTTGTGATGAAAACTACCCCAATGATGGCAAAGACCAAAGTCGACAAAGAGACTTCTCCAGGAAAACAACGAAAATGAAACAGCCCCTCTGAGTGCTTACCTGCTGCAGGTCGGCGAGGGAATACAGGTGGATCTGTTGAAGGAGGTACTCTCTGGGGAAAATTCTGAAAACAAGGGCAGATAGACAAGTGAACTGCGGTGCTGCCAAAACACACACTTTTCTGATAAGTTTCAAAGTCTCATTCAAGAATTCCTTTCCTCTGCCCTCTCTACTTTCCACCTATACTTTTCCTCCTAAGCCTTCTGAGAAATATCTTTTTCTCAGATATTTTTCTTCCCAATACAGACACCAGAATGGAGGTAAAAGTTTGATCTTTGACTTCTAATGTAATCTTAAGAGCTACAAGCACTGTGTAGTGGCCCAGGCCTCAGGACCAGAACATCAGGTTTCTTGTACCAGCTGTGTTCATAATAAGCTGTGTGATCTCTGCCAAGTCCTCAAATGCCCACCTGGCTTCAGCTTCTTCACGCAGAATGAGGGTGGTTTAATGTGATGTCTCTAAATATCTTTCTAGCTGTATTATTCTATATCTAAATATACTGATTTTGGATTTCAGAAAAATTGGAGTGGCCACTCTTGTCTAGAGGCTTCTATGGCTTTCATTAATGAGGAGGAGTGATACTGAATATCACATTAATGAACTATCCTCTCATATGTATAGTGATGGCAATTTTAGAACCTCTGTACAAATGAGAATAATGGGACAAGACATTTTAAATTAGGACTCTTCAACAAAGTCCAATATCTTTAGCTGCTGTCTGTTCACAGCATCTGAATAGATGACAATGAATGAACAGAAAAAAATAACCCGTTATGGGCAAGCAAACAGGTTACCAAAGTGTAGATGACTGGAAAACAACATACACACAAACTAAACCCAAAACAAAATCCATGATACTAGCATTTTTCTCTTTGTCTTATTTGGTACTATGCAATTTTCTAGGGTCTTAAATGAAAGAAACCACCAATTTATCCAATTCACATTTATGACTCTTCATTATATGCCAAGCACTATGCCAGGCATTAGGAAGACAGCCCCAGTATGAGGCCAAGGAGCATAAAGTCAAGTGAGGAAAAGACACAGAAGCTGATAATTACAATACAATGTGGTAATTGAAAATGATAAAGAGTTATGCATGGGGTACATATTTTTTGAGTAGTCTAACACGGTGGATTCCAACCCTGGCTGTCTATTAGAATCACTTGGAGACCTTTTAGAAAGCAACAGGGTATATGCCTGGGTAGAGCTCATAAATCAGTGTTAAAGAAAACAAAAACTCTCTTGGTGATTAGTACAGTCAAGGTTTAGAACCACTGGCCTAATAATCTTGCTCATTGGAAAAATCATTATTCAGTCTTTCAATTAAGTATGCATTAGTTGCCAAATCCTAGATATTAAATCATTCATCCTTCCATCCATCCAATATTGATTAAGCACATACTGCATATCGGGCACTGTATTAGACTACTGAAAATGGAGCACTGAACCAATTAGACGAAGTCCTGACTGGACGGAGGACTGGGGTAGGTGTATTCTAGTAAGGACCTCTCCTGGAAAGTAGGAAAGTCGCTGAAGAATTCTGCTGGAAAGCACTGTTTCACCCACAGGAATGAGACAAGTGACAAGGGCATTATATTCTGGGAAACTGAATGCAGTTCCTAAGGCTGGGCTCCCTTCACGTCTAATGGTTCAGGGCTGCACTTGTGACAGGAAGCAGAGCACAGGCCCAGCACAGCTGGGTAGGGCATAGGAAAAGTACTCAATTCCTTCATGTAGGATTAGGTTCTCCACAGGAAGGCCCCTGTCATGGAAGGTAGACCATGGTCCCTGGAGGAACCATGAGATGTAATCAACCTCCATTTTCAAAAACACAAACACATGACAGAAATGATCAAGGGATGTCTTCCGAGATTCAAGGCCAGGACTTTCTGACTCCAAAGGCCTACATTCCTTCTAATTTCTTGGGGCTAGGGGTGGGGGAAGGAGGGAGGTAGGTTTGAGCTGACCATCTAATTTAGTAATATCATGCACATCTCTTCTGGATGGATGTTTATTACTGTAGTTTAGGCCGGTAGCGGTATAGAGCCACTGATGCTTTTTGAGGCAGGAAAGCCACACTGGTATGCCTCTGAAGGCAGCAGGGAGGGTGGAGAGACTACAGACAGGTGACAAAGCATGTGAGAGTCTGTTCTAGGGTAGGCAAGCGGACAGTGAAAGGAATGAGTGGGTAGATGCCGGAGACTTTTTGGAAGTGAGAACATTGGGAATAAGTGAAAAAGGAGAAGGGGGTCTAAGATGACCCTGAAGTATAGAGCCTGGGGATCAGAATGGTGATGCCATTGGCCAACTGAGGGTAGGCTTCCAGGGGAGGGAATAAAAAACTGAGCTTCCCATGTGCCGAATATCCAGTGCCTGTGTGGGGAATGACAAGCATGGATCTGGGCCTGAGATGTAGAAGACTCAGGGCACTTCTGATGGGAGCACAGAGCGGACAGCTGAAGCCATGGGAATGGAGGGAATGGAGTGAGGAAAAACCTGAATGGGAAGGTGGCTGAACCCAGATGAGGGTTGTTTGTTTTTACTTTGTTTACCTTACAATCTAGAACTATCTAAAAGTGTACTTTGGTAGTCTGCAATTTTCTCATTATATTTTGAAAAGTATGTTTTTGAAAATAACTAGAATGTTCACATATGCTTCCACAGTTTTTAACATTTCTCTGTATTTGTAAAATGTTCATACCTTCATACTCTTTATCCAGCTTCCCTTAATGCTTACATCTTACCCAACCATGGCATATTGATCAAAAATAAGAAATTAACATTATGCAAATTATAGACTTTATTCAGGTTTCACCAGTTGTTTCACTAATGTCCTTTTGCTGTTCCAAGATCCAAGGACCCAAACTTATCTGCAGGAAAGGAAAACTAGGGCAGTCTTTCAGTGGGACTCAAGGGGAGCAGGGTATGACAATATGAGAGACAGAGGATGTTTAGGGGTGGCTAAATGGAAGGAATAATCTTACTGAAAGGTAAATGCTTAATAATGAAATCCCTTAAATAAAGTAAAATGAAAGCAATGTGGCAGCAGTGCTAAGAAATGGAGTCCAGTAAGAAGGCTGCAAAATCATTTCAAGACTAGCTCCTGCCTCTTCTTCAGGTTTGTAGAAACATAGGTCAGCTGGAGAAAGAGTTAAAAGGAAGATGAAATGATCTATGGCAGGGACAAATGCAGGAGAGCATATCTGTAATGTTTCGCTACTTAAAAATCCTTTCTGCTTTAAAATTCTAAAATTTTTATGATTAGGGATATACAGGATATCAGACTTATTTACAAATTTACAAACCAAATCATACTGGCATACTCTTCCTGGAGTACTATGCCCAGTCGGTAATCATATAGTCAACAAGTACTTACTGAGTGTCTAAAATAAGGCATTGTGCTACGTGCCGGAGATGAATACTTCAATGAATACAACTGATGAACAACAAAGAGAATTTCCAATTTCTCCTTACTAGGCAGGGTCCTTCTTGCTTCCAAACACGATTCATTATTCTTCTTACAAAAATTAACCAACTTTGGTCACAATCATCTCTGATATTCCTTCAACATTATTTGTCCAGTAAGCTAAAGTGGCTATGTATTTATTTAATGTTTCTTTGTGTATATATATTTCACATATGTTTATTTTCTCTCTCCTTTTATATGAGATTCTAAGCCCCTCCAGAAACACTTCCTCTACTGTCTTCTCCATCACGCTTCAATGTCTAATACTATAATTTACATGAGGTCAGTCATAACAGACACAAAGAACTGGAAAATGCAATATATGCAGGAAAGATAAAGGAACCCAGCTTATTGTGTCTGGAGAAGATGTTGTGTCCAAGAGATTTAGTGGTGGCCATTAAAAATAAAGACTTTGAAGAGAGATAATGGCAATCATCTTTTTTTCCTCCCTGGAGGACGGGAGTTGTAGTATGAAAGCACTAAAGTCAAATATGGTAATATATTTCCTGAGAGGGAAGACTGGTAGGTATTAAAATGCATCTCTTATAGTAATGCTTTTTAATGTAAATAAAAGAAGACAAAGGTTTTTTTTGCAGCTGTTTAGAGATAGGGACTCAGTCTTCTGCTTAGAGGAGGTAAGGGTTTCCAAGGCAGGGCCAGATAACTTACGCTCACTGCCATTTATTCCTCTTTCCCCTAAGGCAGACTGAATTTGCAAGACATTCTCTAAATATTTTCTTTAGGAAGACCAAACACAGGGAAACTCAGGGTAAATATGGACCTAAAAGCCAAGCTTGGGAAAGCGTGGGCTGCGGCAACTTCCCATCTGGGTGACTCCAAGGGCTTTCCTCTGCTGTGGCTGAGGTCCCACAAGTGGGCCTGACGGGAGTCCTTTAGGAAATGAATGGGAAAAGTAGATTCCCAGAGCCAGTTTGCCTTAAACTCTGATTAGTGGAAAGGGGTCTGAAAAACAAGACTAAGGAAGAGGAGTTGTCTTGGTAGGGGAAAGGGTAGCTCAGATGTTGGAACTGTCTTTGGAAGGCTCAAGTGGAGTCACCTGTGAGTCCAAGTGTGTGATTTGTGGGCCCCCAGCTTATAGGTTTTAGGTGAAGCCCTGAGAAAAAGTGATAGCCCAGGGGGGCACATGCTGGGACATGAGAAAAGCCTGGCTCTGGGTGAAACAGTACTATTAATATTTAGGAGTAGATAAACAGGAAGAGGACTGGGAAGGAGTAGGTTGACAGGGAGGAGAAACAGCAGAAGAGCCAGCACCGGGGAAGCCAAGGAAGGAGGTAATTTCATGAAGGAAGAAGGTGGTCAATGGCATCAACAGTAGTGGAGAGGTCAGATAACGTGAGGAAGACTCTCATGAGGCCTGGAAAGTGCCTGCTGGCAAGCAGGAATCCATCCGTGACCTCAGACAGGGTGGTTTCAGTGGAGGGGGAGTAAAGACCGGAGAGGGGTGAGGATTGTGGGTTACTCTTTTATGAAGTCAACTTTAAAGAAAAGGAGGGAAATCAGGCCACAGCTAAAGAAGGATGTAGGACTAAGAAAGGATTTTTTTACTCAGGAGGCTGAGGCAGGAGAATGGCGTGAA